ATTTATCATTCTCATTGTGCTCTCATTTGACACCTACACATATGGAAGATGTGCAATTTGGCAGTCTTGTATTTCAGTGTATTTCAGTTTGGCACTGTACTGGAATATATTATGTTTTAATACACTGTCAAACAAGCAATAATACAACCCACACACTCAATGTAACATCATGAAAAACAACAGGAATTAACATACATCTTTCTGAGTAACCCTACTGTAACCACACTACCCACTGTATGCATTTTAATGGACATAGTTACTCACATGATAAAAACTGACAGGGCCTCTATTTCAGTGCTGTTTAATGCAAATACCAGAATTGAATTTACATGTAACATGAGTCCAAAGTGTGTTCCAGCCTTCACTATACACTGCAAGAGTCTAAATGTGCATTGAATATTAAACCTAATATCAGCCAGAATATCAAAACATGACACATATCTTCTAGATGTGCTCTTTATTGTGGTTAGGATGCTGTGCAACAGAGTGTTGTTTTTGCCTGGGAGACTGTATGACACCCAATGAGACAGTATAAATCAATACCCACTCTCATGTACGCACACCTTACAGTTTGTTGCTTAGTTTGGTACAAGGCTGCGTAAAGTTAAAAATGCCAAGAAAATCCATTAAAATATATGACAATGCTTAAGTCAGAATTTCAGCACTGAACAGCTCCAACAAAGAAGACGAGAGTAAAGCAGACTTCTCAGGAGGGACAACTCCCGAGTCTTTAGTATATTGTATCTGGACAAAATCTTTCTGTTGCCACAACTAAGACTTACAAGCACTGGGTAAACCAAGGTTGATCACCACACCCAGATCCCTGCTAAAGTGGTCAAAATGGACAAGTGTTTAAAGGGGCACTACTAATGTAGTCATCTATAAAGTTTGGGGACGCACAAGAGACAACTTGGTCAAAATCAAAGCAGCAGAAGCCAAGAGATCCTGGCCTTTAGGCTCTAGTATGGGTCAAGCTCCAAAAAATGCTGGATTTCCCATAAGGCATGCCCATAATACATTTCCACAGCAGCCTTCATTAGATCCTCCCTGCCTCCTTAATGTCCACTTCTTTCAAACCCTATGCCTCTAGTTTGTAATTTCCACATTCTATTAAAAATTGTAAGTCTCGGGCTCAAGCCAAAAACCAGCTGTTTTCCAGATGTAGTATTCCCCGTGATGAGTAAACTGAACTTCTAATATGAGCCCCTTTAAATATGTAATAGTTTAACCACATTGAAATATTTAGTCACTGATTAGAGGCTGGTTTGAAACTGCAGTATATATATATATTTTTTTTATTCTGAGAAATATAATGGCTACAAAGGAGATGTGATGTCGAAATGCTCACGGCTCAGTGGTTAGCAACTGCCACTGGAGATTTGAAATTTTTGTCAGCTTGTAAGAAGCTACTGACTATCGCCTATTATACAATGTTTCCACCCCAAACTATAAGAAATTCAAAGATTCAGAAGAGGACGACACCCTACCCAATTCTGCTGGGATTTCCCGACAACAAAGAGCTTCCAAAACTTTGTACATGGATTTCCTCGGGGGGGGGGAGATGGATGCAGTTCTTTTTCGCTCAGACGCTAATTTGGGCTTACACTGATTAAGCTGTCCGTACTGCCAGGAGACCTCTGCGTATGTGTGATCCACTGTGCGCCTGAGCGTATGTGAGCAGAATCTCTAAAGCTTAAGGGACACCGTCAGCAGTGCCGGTGATTCACAGGGAGGACGACATGAAAGAGCTGTGGAGAGCCAGTGACACCGTGGGATTACAGATGGGAGAGAGGAATCCTTCCCTTTCAGTCAACAATTAACAAGGGGATAACTGCAAAACAAGCTTGGCGAGCCTGTCATCGGCTCGGTCCTCAGGTGCACAGAGGGAAAGCAACTAATTGAATGTAGAATTGAAAATAGGATAGAGTAATGGGACATGATGAGGCAGTGTCAGCACTTCATCTTGTTTTCTCATATTAATAAAGGCAAAACATTTCACAAACTTATGCTGTTGCATCTTGTTAAGAACGGCGGTGATAGTTGCTTTGAAATCCAGTCATGGAAACTGATTAATTATCCCCCATAGGATGACAAAATACTACAATTTCAATCCAATGAATTGCATCTCATCATGGAACTGAAATCTAAAATACACAAAGTATAGTGCTGTTTAATACACTTTTACGCCTCATAATACAATGTTATATGATAGCATATGCTACCTATTTGCAGGTTGGCCTTTCACAATGGCTCATAATGTCCATATCATGTGTTAGTCCTGTGGGTCTAAGGTTGTGAACTGTCACTAAGCTGACAAGAGCAGCTTTTGACCCTCAACCCCGAACCAGCAGCCAGCCGGATCATGTCCGAAGGGAGACAGTGGCCTGACAATGATCCCCTGCCCCAGGCTTTGTGCTGTCACAACATACACACCAACACATTATGTTTACTTGAGTTCCTTATAGGCAAGTCTCAATGCATTAGTTTCTTTTTTTCCCTTTTTTAATCTAGTTATTCGTTTTACAACTGTACCTGTAAATCTGAAGCTAGTGGTGAAAACTGAAGCTGGTCCCAATATTACTGTGGTTTCATGGTCCTAGTGTCCCTGAAAACATGTATCACTGTAGGCAGAAAGCCAGTGTCGTTACACAATATACTGCTCCAAAGGATTATTTTCAATTAACATCAAATAAATGTGTTGCTTCAAGCCATAAAAAGCAAGCGGTGACCCCCTTAAATGCTCCCACCTGTGGCATAACTCATATGACTATAGGCATTAATGTCCATAAAAGTATATTTATGACAAGACATATATTTAATGTCTATTTACACTATACAAGCCAACATATTTGACAAAATATATCATATTTCAAAGAATACCCGAAGACACAACCAAGTATATGGTTAACAACTTTTTTACAGTTTCGGAAATACGCTTACCATATTAGCTTTCTGGCAGAAAACTGCATGAGAAGATCGATATTGAGAGTGGTATCAACCTTCTCATCTAACTTTGTGTCAGAAAAAGAATAAACGTATTTCCTAAAATGTTAAACTATTAGTATGTCATGTCAATTTTTTAGTCCCTACAAAACACAGACATAAAGTAGACATCTGCACAACATGAAATTTCTAATACAAACCATATGGTGGACATGAAGTACATTATGTACAAGAACGGAGGGAGGCACGACCAAAAATCTGGTTACATGTTATGTTACTCAATTGCAATGTTCCTTTCCCCTGACACTGGTACATCCTGTCCAGTGACACTACAGAAAGCTGCTGCTTGCTTGTGCAACTGAGATTAGGCATCCTGAGACGCACTCAAAGGCTTACTTTCATACATATCAACCACTATAACCACCATCAGGACCAATGATTTGGTCTTTACATATCGTCTTCCCACAACAGATATGAGCAAAACAATCAATGGAACCACACTAGAGTAAATAAACTTGAGCCAATACAACTGCAGCTAATCAATATAATAGCCTTCAGGTGCAGCTCAAAATGAGTCTGATGAGGAATGCAAAGTGGATTGTCTCATTCTGGGGAAAACCCATCTTGACAGGGGGGGACAGCCAGCATGCACTAAATTAAACTTGAACATGAGTTAAGATGCTCTTTTCAGCCACATGGAAAGAAAATGAGGCTTATTTTCAGGCTAAATTGTGCGTGTGGGAACAGGTGAAACTGGATGAGAAGGTAGCCTATCTCATTTTGAGGCTTGTGGCAATTTTCCTTTTTTTTTCTTCCAAAAAGGTCAATGAGTTCCACTTCAGATTTCACTCCAAGTCTCAGCACGTGAGTATTTTAAGCCTGTGGCACAATCGTTCTCATGCGTTAGACTACACAACACAATCATGGCTTAGAAAAACCCATTTGTCTGAGGAGGTGCGAAGGCAGCTGTCTCACACACACACACACACACACACACAGGCTACCATAAAAGAATGAGTGGTCAGTTTCAGATGCACAAAAACACAACAGACGTCAAGTGAAAACCTGAAACGTCAGGATGAAACGACTCGCCCGCTTCCCACAGAGTCTCTCAGTGTGCTGTTTTACATTTTTCCAGCCGCTGGCAGAGCAGCCGTCATGCGTTACTTTTTTTCCCCCATTAAATGCAAGCCACTGCGTCTGTCTGCACCAAAAACAACTCGCTGCTCAGAAGCTTCGACTGAACAGCCTAAATGGAGTAGATGCGCGCACCAGAGTCACATTTTACTACTACTGTAGCCGCTACATGTCACAGATTACGCGCAGAGACGCGCACCTTTAAGTATCCCCGCGGTACCCAGACGCATCAATTTGTACGTCCAAAAGAGCGGATTTGGGGACCAAAGATGTCGAGCGTCGCAGAGGAATCGATGACATCATGTCTGTGGGGGAAAGATGTAGTTTTTGTGAGCCGTGAAAACAGATGCTCGTCTGGCCTGTAGTTGCAGAGTTGGAGTATTTGATGCGGGGAGGGAGAGCGGGTGAATCCAGGCGACCGTGTGCACTGTTATGCTCTGTGATGTGAACGGCGCGCCTGACACACACACACACACACACACACACACACTCAGACACGCACACAAACATAGACACACACGAGCTTTCAGCTACTACCTGTCCGTCTTTGAACAAATAGCCCTCCTACCTCCCCACACAAGCGCAATGGCGCACTGTGATGAAATAATCACAGCGGTGCGATTTCTGTGCAGCTGTAGCAGTTTGCTCTGGACCCCAAATGCGTAAAAATGTGACTAGACATATTGAAAACGCGAATACATGGTGACACCAAAGAGTGGAGACTGTGAGGCGAGCGTAATGGCATCAGCACAGTGCTGATTTTCACCCCAGTCATGTACACAACCACGGGTTATTCCAGGTGACAGTAAAGAGGAGGTTAGAAGGCTGGAGTGAATGGATAGAGTGAGAGGAGCTGGAAGCAGGGTGCTTTGGGGGTTTCAACTGATTCTGTTAAAGACAAAACTTTAAGTTCGTCTTACCTCCATACTTGTCCTAACTGAAAGATGTGTATGATGCTCTGCCAGACCCAGACAGAGAGGCGGCAGCACCTGTCTCTTTGCAGACCGACTGTAGCTCTTCGACTACTCAGCCCCTCCACGGAGCCCAGTCCGCCTCCTGTGTAATCCTGCACAAACCACCTGAAGCTCAGGATCTGGACCAGCACCGAGGGCACCAGCACGAAGAACAGGGTCAGGCCTGACCACAGGAAGTCCTGCTTGTGGTAATAGTCGATGGCCAGCCACAAATCGGTCCCCACGTCCCAGAAAAAGACCAGCAGCGCCAGGATGATCCACAGGCAGTCCAGCCAGAGGCGCTCCTCCTGCGGTGGCCGCGCCGCATCTCTCCCCTTCCCCTTCCCCTTCCCCCGGAGGTAATGCAGGCAGGCGCTGCGGCAGCCCCAGTAGCACGACGAGGTGTTGCAGCAATGACAGATGTGGAATGAGCTGCCGTTCCGAGTGTCGTCCTCTCCGGTCCCCACCACCTCGTCCAGGTTGTGCAGCTGGGCGAAACCGGTGACGACCCCGCGACCATCGGATTTCGCTGCCATCTTTCCCTCTGATGTTCCCACCTCCTCCGGCTTCCGGGGTTCGTGACGACACTTCCCTGACACCTGTTTTGCACCCCAAATGTTGGAGCCATCTAAAAGCGGGGTGTCAGCGCGTCGCCGTCGCTCACTCTGTCCCCAGATAGCGCACCGGTGGCGCCACGGACGCAGCACATATTTTCTTGCTTTCCCTCCACTGCAGATCTCTTCGCACCTGGTGACAATAATCTAATCTACAAGTTCAAAGGATTTAATTTGTAACCCATGCATCCAGCTGTGGTCGAGCAATTTTTACCTGTGCATTAATCTCATTCCCCGCTGTTCAGTTGTTTCCCCTCTCTGCAGCTCTCCTCCAGCTGCAAGCTGAGTGCCATGCAGACAGTCCCTCCACTGTCCCACGCCGACGTAATTCATCCCCCCCACCAACCCCACCACCTCTCCTCTCCTCCCTCTCTCTCTC